GCATGAATGTGCAAAAACGCATTAAAGCTGGAAAGGATGGCTCCAGGATTTCACGGCCTGAGTTGAATGAGGGCAAATTTGCATGCACACTCCAGATATTGCCGCTTGCAATATGTTTGGTTTCCTAAGTTGAATTGATTTGTTTAAGGGCCCTATATGTATGCGCCGAAATGATGTTATTTTGGCATGCACTCGTAAGTGTTGAAGTTGAAACTGCCCCCCCTAGCGTGTGTTTTAAGCAATCTTCGAAAAGCTACTTTCATCACTGCGCAGCTCTTTGTAGTAGAGTCAGTCGCAGGGGCATTTCTTCTTAAGTTGGTGTTGGTTCGACATAACATTCTGAATATGTATGTTTACACGTTTAGGTAGAAACGAAGTTTAGAAGTGTTCATATTGAAGCGAAGTGTACAATGAAATGGGAGCATATTAGGTTTTCTTGTTTCAGAAATGATATAGTTTGTATGTACGTTAAGCCGTGTGGCGATGCGCATTTCACTTTGTTGTTCTCACATGGAAATGCTGTGGATCTAGGCCAGATGTGTAGTTTTTATTACGGATTGGGCTTTCGACTTGGCTGCAATGTTTTTAGCTACGATTATTCCGGTAAATTTTTTCCCCGCTTTTGCTTATTTTCCGTTATCATTCTTAATAAACTGAGTGGCTAAAAGTGCTTCTCGGATTGTTGCTTCTGTTAGCTATCTACGATACGATTAACTTTGAAGATGCACAGCATCGACTGCTAATCAAAGTGCTAAGGAAAAATGGTCAAAAATAGTCTCATACACTGTTTAAAGGAGTTTTTGTTGGGGTAAATATATGAACTAAGGAAAAAATTGATGCGCAGCGTCTCGGTCTATTTGCTGCGCATATCCTCTCCTCAAAAAACTACCATTGTACCTGGAATATTTATAACAGCTATTAATTCTTGGTGTAGTTCCCCGTCTCTGCGGTTAGTAGCTTTTCCACTTCTGTAGTTGCTCTGACCAATGCTGTATCGCCTGATACTCAGCCTCCTAGCAATGTTGACGTTGTTTCGTCTTTTGAAAAGATGAGACTCAATGGTTCTCTACAGGAGCACTTGGCAAAGCTCCAGCTTTTCCGAAGTGTCGAGCATTACTACTTCTCAAGCGTTGCCACTGCTACAACATAATGAGGTAACTTATCGGTAAGGGAAAAGAAACTTTCGCCTTATCGACTGATCAGGGCAAAAAAACCCAGAATTTGATCTCGTAAGCATCAAAAATTCAGCCTAAAACTTATCTCACTCTTGGTTGTGCTGACAATTTTGGATATTAAACTGTTCAGGTCCTTGGTTATCAGGTTGGAAGAAGTAACTGAGTGTAGGAGAACCAAATCTTACAAAAAATCGCATGTTTTCCAGTCTCTAGTCTCATTCAAAATTGTTATTGCTTGTTGTGAACTGTGTTCGAGTCCCCATCAAACGTCAAAACTAACAGAAATTGAAAGCCAATTTTTCCTTTACTTTATGGCATTTCCCAGTATGTTTTTACTTTTAGGTGTTCAAAAAATTATTGTCATCTTTTTAGGATATGGTTGTTCGAGTGGTAAGCCATCGGAGAAGAATCTTTATGCGGATATTGCTGCAGCACTAGCTGCTTTACGTTCGCGATATCAGATGTCGCTGAACCGAATTATCCTTTACGGCCAGTCAATAGGTGAGTTCGATTTTCAGCCCCGTCTGCTGTTGTTCAAGAGTAGCAGTAATGATCAAGTTGCCGGTGTTAGCGAAAATTTGTATTTAAAGAATGTCTGTCAAAGTTTGAAGGAATTTATAAGAGTAATGTACAAAAAAGTCTGTGTCTGTTGCATCTGAATTCAAAAACGTGATCATTCCGTCACTAAGCACCAGCTGCACTGGTCACATTTCATTTTACGCAGACAGATACCGATCGCTGCGGCTTCTTTTCTTGGCTTAGAATTAATCTAGTTTTGACATATGAGACA